ATTTCAAGATTCAAACAAGTCTATCTTTGACCGTATATTTTTGATATATCTTTTAAATATTTTGAATTATCAATTATTGTGACTTGTAGTACTTTTTATATAGTTTACAAATATATAAATTTCATTTTGAAAAATTTGAAGATTCCATGAGCAAATTTTCAGTCAAACTTAAATTATTTGTCTCTGGAAAAGCGTAATGTGTCACATAAATTGGGACAGAGGAAGTAATAGTTATCCGGACCAAACTTGACAGGTGTTATTAATGCCATTTGGCTCCAATATAAAAACACTCATGAACTTGCAAACACTATATCAAATATCCTTAATACATTAGTTTAAAAGTCAACCTGTAGAACAAGTATAATTTATTCAAAGGAAAGAACCGGTCACCTAATTTAAATGTGCTTCAGTCAATCTAACATCTTGGATAAGACCCTTCTTTTGCTACCTGGGACTCTTCCTTTCCCACCAAAAAGGTAAAATGGATATTCTTGATTGCTTTGTATTAATAAAGAAATATGCATACATTTCACTAACTGAATAGCCAATTCATCCCGATAATAACTTCAAAATCCTTGAAGGGCATTTCAATCAAATAAGCTGGGAAGACTAGGTTTTGAATCACAAAGGGACAATCTTGGTAAACTCGATTACACACAACCTGATAACCCCAACGGACTTCCAAACAGCACATCATAATTAAGGCTCACAAATTTCACGTTTTCAGGAAGAACAAGTGATGAACAAAGATAGGAATGTGTAGAACCAGGATCAAATAGAGTAAACACACACAAGCCAAATAAGTAAAATTTACCGATAACCACATCTTGTCCATCTTGATCATCCCTCTGCCTCATAGCATAAGCGCCTGCAGTAGTCCTTGGTCCACTAGCTTTATTAGCTCCACTTGCACCTGCTGCTTGGGTGGTTTTAGGTCTTGCACCTCTATTAGTTTGAGGACGATTAATAGAAGGTTTATGAACTGAGCCTTCAATTCTCAATTAAGGAGCATTATTAGGATTAGGACAATCCTTCACTTTATGATCAAAGCTCCCACAATTGAAACATGCACCAGAAGCTCTCCTGCAAATGCCATAGTGATTCTTTCCACATTGTTCACATGTAGGAACGCGAGGCTTGCCTTGGCCATAATTTGGAGTGCTAGCTGTACTGAAGAAAATTCTGATATGATTTGCTTTTGTTGAGGTGGCCCGTTAACACTACCAGCCTTAGAATCATCAAACCTTCCCCTTTTGGATAGACCTCCAAAATCTGGTCTAGGCTTTCGAAATTTGTTTTCATTTCGACTAGCTTCTTCTTTATCAAGTTGCTCCCAAGTAAATGCAGCAGACACTAACTTACAAAAGTTCTCAT